TTAGATTTTACAAATGCGTGTGCCGGGCTGTGAACGGCTCGTCTATTTGTAAAATCTAAGTGACTTTAAACACAATAAAAACAGCACTATGTAGTTGGATACGACAGACATTACATTTTCTAATTGCATAGCTTTTGCACATAGATTTTCTTGAAAAATAATGCGATGAGATATAAATAATTTAGAAAAATTCTGTTCTCCCATTTTTTGTTTGAATAAGGAAATGGCCACCTTATTTTTTCCTGTCATTGCTGCCACAACACTTCAAAAAATAATATTCAATTTAAACTAGACGAAATACATCGAAAATTATTTATTTATAATTTCTTCTAAACATCTTGCGGGCCGGATAGAAACTTTTCGCGTGCCGTAGCTGGCCCGCGGGCCGGGGGTTGCCCACCGTTGATCTACATAATTTAAAGAGAAAATTTTACTTACATTTCTTGATTGTCACTCTCAATTATATTACTCTATACCAGTAATGGAAAAAACTTTTTCCAAAATGTTAATCAAAACTGAATTCAAAATTTATTAACTCCAAATTACAGATCAAATATTTTAGTAATTAAAAAAAATAAAAGTTGTAAGTTTTTTGTAACATTTTAATCTATATCACAAAGATAATAAACGCCACATAAAAATGAATAGAAAATAATGTGATTATAATGGAAACAAATATTTTATTTAATGGATTAAATTATTTGATGATAATTTTTCTACGAGATTTGTAATAAGGGATACTAGAGAGGTTGAGGCAGACGTTTTAAACGTGTAGGTCGGACGTTTGGCGCCGCTTTCCCATAAGCCTAAAAGTTTGACAATGGTATTTGGAATGTCAAGCGTGATTCCACCGACTATCCAAACACCATTGTCAAACTTTTAGGCTTACGGGAAAACGTCCGACCTACACGTTTACACGTTTAAAACGTCTGCCTCAACCTCTCTAATGAATGGCTTTTAAGACTTCTCACCAGCCTTACAACCATGCTTTCACAATGCATATTTCATATAATACATACAATAATCAAAATTTTGAAATCTGTCAAAAGATTTTTTTATATATTATAAAAAAATATAACAAACACTTTTTAAATATTCAATATACCTTCAAATCGTTGCATGGGTCACTTTAATATCTTTTCAATGCTTTTCAAACCAGGATTTGAGACCTGTGTTTTTAACAGCATCTTTATTGGTAAGATTCAAGCTCTGAATGAGGGTTTCACACACCCTTATACAAGCAAAAAAGTCAAAAGAAATGTGACCCTTTGTGAGATATTTGCTTCCAAAGGTCAGTTTATAACATGTATCAGTATACTGCCTATTTTCCATTCTCCACATCATCAATGCTCGCTATCACTCTCCTTGACCTTCGCTATGCATGTGTAGTAGCGAGCACCAAAGCACATGACTACGTGCTTTGGTGCTCGCTACTGCTCACACCTCAGCACCCAGATGGGAGCAAGTCCCATATCCCCTAAGACTATATAACATCAAGTATTCCACAAACAGTCAAGTAGGCTACTCTAAGCCAACATAGTCACATGGGCTAAATGATTAAATATAATAATCTTAGTGGAGCAGAGAAACTTGCAATCTCGCATGACCTTATTTCAGGGAGCTGTATCTCAAAAAGGGTTTCTTGTAGAGGTATGGTTCCTTTGACTTTTTTGCTCCTATGGGTATGCTCTACAGCTCTAATAAGGTCCCAAGTCTCATTCAGAGCTTGAATTATACCGAACAGGCAGTATGCTGATACATTATAAACTGACGTTATCTCGCAAAGGGTCACATGTACAGGTATACAGGGTCTACAATTCTTGGGGGTGCGTAATCCCTCATTCAGAGCTTGAATCTTATCCAACAGTCTCATTCAGGACTTGAATTGTACCCATCTATGACCCTGGGGTTTAAATCAAGGAAACACAGTATTTAAATTTTTTATTTATGCTCAAATCTTATTGTTTTATATCATGAAAACAGCATTATATGAATTTTGAATCTAACTTTCTGTCAGATATTAGATCATGCATCTAAAAACATTTTGTAAATGTTAGAAAGAAATCAAAAAACTTTCTACAAGTTTTATTAAATTATAGTTATGCATTATATTGATAAGACCAAATTTTAATCATTAAATGTGTTTTATTCAAAAAAAATCAATCAACTAACGTTCATTAATTCAAATGAATCTCAAATTTATGAATAAATCTTTGTTTGACTTTACTTAAAATGAAACTAAAAACATTACATTCAAATGTTTAACAAATTTTTATTGCAATTTTTAAATATATTGCAAAATCAACTGTATGTGAATTTACAAATTATTATTTTGGATGTGTACATATATTGTAACAAATTTCAGAATAAAATGCAATTTCAACTTAAATGTAGGTAATAAAAATTGAACAAAGCAAATGTTTGCTTCAAATTATTTGTATTTTTAAAAGCAATAGCTGAAAATTTTTTAAAATCATTAAGATTATTTCATTTTTAAAAAGATGAACATTGAAAGCAGCAAATATTCTTTTTATTGCATTTAACTTACAAAATAAAAAGGAAAATAATAGTACTTTAAAAATATGCATAATTTTTTTTATACATGAAATATGTGTACTTATATTCTAAATTAAGTAAGAATTTGTTTAATTTCAAATTTTATTTTCACATTTATATTCATAAGAATGCGGTTTAATTAACAGAAAAATTATCAACATACAACATAAATTTTACTGTATATATATATATTTATCCAGTATATATGTACAGTACATGTATTATTAATGATTTTATATCTTCAATCAAAAATATACAAAACTAAATACAGTAGTAACTAGAACTAAAAAAAAAAACCTAAAATAAAAGATCTGTCCAAAAGACATTATACAGTAGAGCCTCGAAAACTCAGCCTAATGTGGACCGAAGGGTGGCCGAGTTTGTGAAAATGCCGGGTTATTGGGAATGGGGTTTAAAACAATAAGTACGAGTGTTTCCTCAGAAAATACTGTACTGTACTTGTATGTATTGTTTGCCTGAGAATACAACAGAGAATAAACTGCCCAAATACCCTTAAACAAAGGAAAAATACATCCTTTATGAAGGTTATAGAGCCTTTACTACATGAAAATGAAAATTAATGAATACACTGTGTACAGTAATTTACCTGATAAGACAGACCTCAGAAAAATACTTTATGAGGCATAAAGCTGTCTATAATGAAAATTAATTAACTAAGGACTTTTTGCCCTGCCAAGGTGTGGCCGAGTTATCCAGAGTGCCGGGTTATCGAGTGCCGAGTTTTCGAGGCTGTACTATATAAGAAATACACATAAACTCAAATTTTATATTTTAGATATTTCTATCAATCTTATGGTAAAAGCAAGTCAAAAAGATATAAATTTTCTTATATCAAGTGAATAAACAAAAAATTTTGTGAATAAATAAAGAAATAACAAAATTATTCATTAAGAATTTTTACTTGAGCTTTTATTACAATAGATAAGAAATTTGGCTTATTTCAACTCCATAGTTATTTAGCATAAATTAATACAAAGAATGTGGTACGATCGTAACATAAAAGAATCAACAATCAAGGTTAGTTTTTCTTATAATTGCTCATCCAGATAAACAATTTTTTGTTATTCCATAATCTAGGAAGTCGGCCTATGCCCCAGGCAATTTAATTTTTGATCGGGTGTCTCAAAAATAAATTCAAATCTAATAATAATTATATTAAATTTCGCAGCAAGAAATTTAATAATTTAATTAAACATAAAATTAAATGAAATCTCACTTTATGACTAACGCCAGGCAATTTCCTATACAGGAACATTAGTGTTTTATAATACCGAAGTTCAATATTTTCTTTCCTTTATTAATATATAATATAATGCTGTACTTTGGAATATAAAAATATATTTTTAATTAAATTAATTTTTAAAATTAGCCAATACCTGTAAGAACAGAAGAATTAACATAAGTACGAAAATAACTCTTAAATATAATTTTAAATAAAAATATTTCAAGTTTAATGTAATTTCAATTGAAGGTTTAACCGGGAAAAAAAAAACTTGTTTTCCGTAATATTTTGTTTAAATATCGATTTAAATCGATTGAAAAATGACAATTTTTTAAATAAAGCATTCATTTAATAAAAAGTCATCGTTGAATAATGGCAAAAAGTAATATATTATTGAAATTTACATCCCAGACATTCCAGTTTCCGGACATTACAATCTCTACTGAAAATAGAAACCTAATTACAATTTTTACCTTCTAAAAGTCTTGCTATAATGCTGTCGATGTTCAGTTTATCCATATCAGTCATGTTGGATGAGTTTTAAGTTATTGCTAATATCAAAATACTTATTTTTTTGGTGCGGTCTCTCTGTTAAAATCGAGTTACAAAATAAAGAGGACTTCCTATCAAAATGGCCGAAATCAACAACATCACATGACGTCATCCCCACAAAATAGAACGTAGTGACGCTGCTGTAGCTGAGTCCGATTTTAAAGACAAAATTATATATTTTATAAATTTTTGCTTATATTAATAAATTTTCAATTTAAAAAATATATTTTAAATTTAAATAATTATTGTTTATCGTAATTTAAATTTCTTCGTTGCATAACTTTTGGTTTCTTTCAAAATTTCTATTTTTATGTTATTTTATTTCATTTTCGCGTGGCAGATTTTACATTATTCGTTAAGATTTTTGTAGTATCAATTTGCAAAAGAAATGCTTAACCGCATTTTTCATAACCGCACTTAAAGATATTTTTGACTGAATTAATTATTAAAACATTTAGAAATTTCAGTATTGTCAATTATAAAAAGAATACTGAAATGAAATGAATTTAAAATCAATGTAAGATAAATCAGAAGTTCAATAGTCTTCGAGTAGAGTTGCCCACTATCCTTCATTTGGGAGGACAGTCCTCCATTGAACTGTGTTGTCCTCTTGTCCTCCTTTTATCAATAATGTCTTCCTTTTGAATACTAAAATTTTATTTGTTTTTGTTTGATTTCACTTCATTATCTCTGAAATAGTATCGGCAGATGATGTTCTAGTAATTTATTTTCTTGTTAACTAACAGTTTTATCTTTATCACTCGCTAGCAACGAGCTAGAATATATATATATTTTAATACTCTTTCCGCCCTGTGGGCACTAAGAGGGCCTCTTATAGCAAGCCTATTATGGGTTCGGCCAGGCCCACAATGGTGCGACCGGTGGTGAAGGACGGGGTCCGACATATCCGAACGGACCACCCCCCGAAAAATTCCTGGGGTTTCCTTGACCCGACCGGATTCGATCCCGGGTTCCCCAGAGCGGTAGGCTGCCACCTTGACCGCTCGGCCATCCGGCCGTCGCTAGAATATACTACGAGACATAGAGTGACGCCATATTTAAAGAAAATTGAATACACATTGTTGTGTCCGTAAAATAAACGATTACTTGTTAACGTATATAATTAACTTTCTTATAATACAAACGTAACTTTGTGGCTCCAGGTCTAAGTGTTACAACAGCTAACGCACGACTGACCAGAGACAAAGGAACACGACAAAAGTCAGAGGTGCTAGGTCAAGGGGCAATTCGGTGTGGGTTATCCCCTAGAGGTTTACATACATAACAATTCTCCCACGCTTAAAACATTGTTCAAAATTTGTTCGTTTAGAGATTTAAGCGTTGTACTGGTTTTCGTATTCGCGTTGGTCGTCGAGGCTCCGATTCATCTAAGTTTGTCATCGTTCGGCTATATTCTCCCTCCTTCTCTGGGGGCTGGTCAGAAGTTGTTTTTGTCATTGTCTCCTTTTTGTTGGGTAAAGTCGTTACAATTCCTCCATCGTAGCTAATTGTGCTTGGGTGTGGACTAGCTCTAGATGGAGATGAGTTTCTATTGTTTACTATGTCGTTGCACCTGTCAATTTTCTTTTTCTTGTCAATTTTGAAATTAACAAACAGACAATTTGTGACACAACTACGCTTGTGTGAAATTAACAAACAGACAAATTGTCTGTTTGTTAATTTCACACAAGCGTAGTTGATAGTAATGCCTTTTATTTCGTACCCATCGTCGAGTTCAAATAAGTAATGTACACGACTTAGTCGTTCAGCTACGACATCATATTTCCAAGGACCGGACGTTATGTAATTTCAAGATTGTATACGATCTCCCACAGGATAAAATTTGTAAAATTTCGATTGTTCGGTTATGTTCCTTTGGGAGGCTTGTACCTGAGGTTTGAGCAGATCTAATTTTGTTCTTATTGTATGTCCTAATAAGATTTCTGTTGGATTTTTCCTGTTAGATAAGGAAGTCCCTCTATATCGGAATAATGGTTCATGAAGCTTCTGATGTAAGGTACAACTTTCATACTTCATACATTTGAGGTATGTTTTTAAGGTGTGACAGTATCTTTCAGCCTGGCCATTTATGGCTGGGTGTCCCGGTGCTATTAAGCTTTGACGGATTCCGTTTCTCGAACAAAACTCTTGAAATTCTTGTGACTTAAAAATACTGTACTTGCATTATCACTTACTAAATTTTCAGGTAGACCAAATCGACGAAAGACTTCACGTAGAAAATTAATTGTGATGGATGTGTCTGGTGCTTTCTTTGTATACAATATTTCCGGGCACTTTGATTTGGCATCGACAACAATAAAGAAATAATGATTCATGAATGGTCCTGCATAATCAATGTGTATACGTTGCCAGTTTTTTGTAGGCGTTTCCCATTTGTGTATTGGGGCTTTCGTTGGGTTTTCTTAATTTCACAGCACTGTTTGCAACTTATAACCATATTCTCGATATCGGAGTCAATATTACGCCAGCAACAGCTTCTTTCCTTGTTAAGAGTATACGGTTTCGTGATAGGTAATCGGCATTTGTATGTTCAATTAACTTCCCATTTCAGCCGGTCTTTGACTCTAAAGTTTATTGATTTATGGTTGTTTTCCCGCAATATAAGCATAGTCCTTCTAAATGAAGTTCTTTTGGGTTAAGTAGGTTTCTGCTGCGACTTTCTGTTCTGCTTCTGTTCCGATTTGATGGTCGTGTTTGAGGATGTAAAGGTAGTTTAATTTGAGTATTTTTGGTAATTTTGTGAACAAGGTGGTTACTTTTATATACTTCGTCGTTTTCAATTTTGGAAGCTTCTATGGCTAATGCAATTTCTAGCGTCTGTTCGAAGGTTAGGTCGGTTTGTTGTAGAATTTTCTCACGGATGTCGGAATCTCGTAAACCACGTATGAATTGTACTCTTTTAACATCAGATCTATGACGGATTTTATACAGTCCGCATTGTTACAACTAGACTTGAAATCTTCGCTTTTCGAAAGTTGTTTTAACGAAATCACGTAATTTGAAATAGACTCACCATTATGTTGTACTCTGGACAAAAATTTATGCTGTTCCGTTAGGATATTTCGTTTTGGTGTTAGGTAATTTTGTAGCAACTTCATTAATTCAGTAAAGGTTCGCCTAGAGGGTATTTCTGGTGCCGTTAGGTTGGTTAGTAGCTGATAATGTTTCGGTCCAAGACAATTGATTAATATTATTACCTTAGCTTTTTCAGTAATGGCGTCTGTTCCGGTTAGTCTTTTGATTTTGAAAAAGTTATCCAGTCGTTGGAATAGTTTTCAAAGGTCTCGGACGTTTCGTTGTAAGTTTCGAAGGTTAGGGCTTGCGTTTGGAGAACTCGTTGAACTGATAGTTCTGGTTTCCTCTCCACCGACTGACTCTGTAGTTTCTTGATGAACACATTTAGAGTTGAAATTAATTCCGTAAGCTCACTAATTTTTATGTACATAACACACGTCCGCCATTTTATTTTTAGTCAAGAGGTGTGCGATTTGAAGTGTAAAGGCAACGAGCTAGATAGAATATTCTAACTCGTTGTATAAAAGTGTGCAAAAGAAAGGAAGAGTTTTAACCCTTAATATTGCAGTCTATTGAAATTTATCTTTCGAGTAGATAATGTAACTGACTGCCAGATGATCGAGACAGTAAGCCTGATGAGTTCTAATCGTAAATTTGAAGAATTTTTCATGAGTGGTCTGTCTCGGATATGTTAGATTTCTTTCTCAAAACTCAGTCGCATTCATTGTAGATCTGATCGAACCCATAACAGATGAGTTCGACCAGATCTACAATGAAAGTCTGAAAGGATTTGTTATTGATAGGGCAGAAAGTTACAAATTGCCCTTGAAAAATAGTTTTATAATATAGAATTAGGCATAATTTATATGTGAAAAAAATTATTTTTTTATTCACAAGCAAACTTGTTTTCATTCTTATCCCGCATTTTTCTGAATCTTATTTGTTAGTTTCAAATTTGCCGAGAGAAGATTTATATCTAGCAAAATGAATCACAATATAGTATTGAATTTTTTTCCTACTTGTCTGGTATAAAGTTAAAATTGTTAATTTTATTGTAATTTTATTCTTATTAACATATATGACATTTAAAAAAATGTAAAACTACAACATCTGAAGTATGCAATCTTCAAATTTTTGCAGTAATTCATATTTTCAGAAGTATTTTATCGAAAATATCTTTAAAATATCAGTGAAAAAATATTATTTAAAAATTCATAAAATTTATATTATTTTATTGTTTAAATTGATATGAATGTTCAAACACAATGAATAACAATCGAAGCGGTTAAGTTTGGATAATTGAGTTTCCACTGTATTTATATAATTAATTCTAATGAAAAACTAAAAGAAATTATGAATAACATATATTTAAAAAAAGCAATTTCATGCGTCATATTTATTCAAATTTTATATAGTTCGAATGTAATTTTAACCTTTATAACACTCTAAAACAATATGGTTTTCACTTAATTAATTGTTATCCTTGTCGTTCTAATTTTCATCATTTCAATTATTCTAAATCGAAGTTAAATTCAAAATATTTTTCTGCGAAGGTTTTATCTTATAATATTTTAAATTGTTCAAGTACGATATGGGTTATCAATATCGTGCTAAAAGATGTAAAATTATAAACTCAAATTTGATTAAAATAATTTAATTTATTCAATCCGTATTTATATTATTTTTTATGGTTAATTAAATAAATCATTTTAATTTCAAAAATCATAGAAAGAAGATTAAAGCTGGCAGTAAAATAAAAATAATTAATTTCTAAAAAAACAAATACAATAATATTCAGATAAAAATATTTATAATTGGAAGAAGATAGACATGAAATTTGGATAGGTACAGGTATAATGTCTGGATAGCAAGGCGATTAATGTCAGCCTACCACAATGAGGAACCTGGGATCGAAGGGCCTTGGAGATTCGAAAACCCCCAGGAATTTTTGTGTCCCGGAAATGTCGGTTCCCGTCCATCTTCATCCGGTCGCCCTTGTTGTGGAGTCCGGCCGAATTCATGATAAGTATGAAAAAAAGGCCCTTTTAGTGCCCACAGGGCAGAAGAGTTTTAAAAACAGGTGTTT